AAATATAAATTTGCTGGAAAACTGGGGTCCTGCAGGAAAAATTCACTAAAAATTCAATATCTCAGTCCCAGAGGCCCATGCACCCAAACCAAGATAGACTTTTTCACTGCTCACTAGGACCTATCGAATGGCAATGGTCCCGAGCGAAAAGCGATTTAACACCTGGAGAGATTCCCTCGTAAGCTCGATATCTTAACAACTCACAGAGATAAACCCAGCAAAAGTCGAAAAAAACGTGTTTTCTAGATGAGTTATTGAGAGAAACATAAGTTTTTTTCTGACGAAAGAAGGAACGAAAAGCAAAAAGCAAATAGTACGTTTTGTAGAGCATTTAACGCTCTATCAAACTGTGTGCCTTCATGGCTTGTTTTGTTTTTTTGTTTATGCTCGTCTATGGCGAAAATTGTTTTACAGACAACTTGTAGATCGAGATAAAAATAAAACTGGGCACTTTTTGCGAAATGTAGATCGAGACTACTCTAAAAGTTTTTTCGGTTCTTTTAGTCAAAAACCAAGTTATAACATCAATTTTGACTCCTTATATTCTGCTGAACCTATCTATCCATAAATTTACGTAGTTTTGATGTCGAGTTTCTCCAACGTGGCTAACCACCTGTAGGCTACAAGCTTTGCGTTTTATTTTTGAATACACATTCGAAATTAGGGTTTTCACGATCTAACGTTTCCTGTGCAGGTCAGACTAAGTTACATATGGTATGAATCGATAACTCTCTACGAGACCTATCGAATGGTGTATGATATATCTGCTTTTAAAGCAACCTCGAGATCATTATAGCCTAAAACCTAGAGAACGGAACCTGCCGAAGTTTATTGAGGTTTATCTCAGTCGCTACGCATGTGGTAGTCGGGAAATTTGGGTTCTAGACTCAGAAAACAACGGAGAACTAGATGTGCTAATCAAATTTTGTTTAAAGTCACTTTCATTATTTTTCACCAATTGTACAATAAAATTGCAAATGACTCATATATATTATGATTTTTTAACTACAGGATATTGCAAGACATGGGCGGGACCAAGGTTTTTCTGGTCCCGAAAAAAATTATACTTAAGTATCTAAAAACGGTAAATTTTTCGCTGTTTTTACGAAATTGTGAAAAAACTCCTTGGTTCCAGTCCCAGTCGCGACGGTCCCGCCCATGTCCAGCTGCTAATCATGAATATTATCTTCAACTTTCCAGACAATGCCCGTGTTTTCTTCGGATTGTCAGTACTGTCTGAAGTTTTTCAACCTGTTATTTAAACAAATTGTACTTTTACGCACACTTACTGAAAGAGCAAACGTTTCTGCACATTTTGAACTGTTTTTCTCATGCATTGAAAACCTTTTATTGCACTCATGATAACTATAAAACTAAAGCATGCATGTTAGCGACGGGTGATAATAAAATTCATTGTTTCTTACAAAAACTCTTTTCTAAGGTGATATTTTACGATCAGCATGAAATGTTGCATCCAACTCTCAAAATAATTTGAAAAAAATTTGTTTTCTAGAAATCATAACAGGGCTCTAGGCGCCCACCACCTCATATCAGGATGTCAAACGTAATGAAATATGTTTCTTGCCATCCCTTGATGCATTTCTGATTGAAAAATGTCGAAATTTTTGGGCTATGATTTTCTAGTTTATCCGTCCAAGTCTTTTGTCTAGAAACTTTGTATTACATTTAATAACTTTTATCAGTCTTGAAATACACGTTATCTTCTACTCTTGTCTTGGTAGAATGATGACATCAAAGCCAATGATTCACATGTTGCGTATATGTAACTTAATTTTTAAAAAACGATAGTATCATGTTGATGGCTACTGTTATATTATGAGAAAATTATTGATCTACAAAAGAAGCTATTTAGTGTCATGTCAATAAATGACAAGAACGAAAAAAACAAATAAAGCATAATGATACTGGATCAGATTACAAACAATTTTTTAAAACCCTCCAGAGATAATTACAATAAACATCTGAACAATGGGATCTTTGAAACTTTTCGATTAATCTTTTCTCGAAATAAATAGTCTTTGAATTAAATGCAATAGTGAGTTTCTTATAATTATTTATTGTAACTTCTATTACAGGATATTATTAAAAAGAGAATTTGGTAGACGCTTCAGTACACGCTGAATCTCCGTTTGTTTCGAATATTGCTAAATATCGAACTACAGAAACATTTTTCAATAAATTACCACGGTTTATTTGCATTTAACACCAAATTAGTCATTGTGTATAAATTTTTATGTTTATGTTGTAAAGTTTTGCTCCAAAATCTTCGATGCTCTTTGATGCTAAATTTCAATGAATAAGGCATAAACTCTAAGTTTCTTTATAAAAAAAGCAAGCGTTTTATTTCTCTCCAATGTTTCTTTCGCTGCTCACGCCGAGCTATTCAGACTTGAATTGCAATATCTTCTAGAAGAAAAAGTACGAAATAGCTGATTAATAGTGATGACAACGTCTTTTTGATACTGACTGAAAAAATACAGGCAGCGTCCAACAGAATTTGTCGATAATAGTGCATTTTATCAAAAAGTAGAAATAAGTACAAGGTGTTGCGCTATTAATAAAAGAAAATAATAACTGCAGATAATACTTTAAATACGATAATATCTGCTAATACCTTCGCAAGCAACAGTCAGTCGTTTCCAACGATGTATGGGTAATTCATTCAGAAACGGTTCCATCCTGCTTCGACAGTTTGGAAATCGTCCCCGCCTCATCTTCTTTATTTCCTGTCTTTTCTCTTTACTGTCCATATTCTTAAACTTTTCTTTTCACAAAACGTCATGTTTTATGTCAAAACAGTTATAGTGATACACACAAATAGAAACTTTATTATTTTTCTACATACCGGACGATGATAATGTCGTTTACTGTTTGTGAGTTTAGATTGGATCCTCATTGAGTGATGATTATGCCTGCAGCCAAAAAGAAGTTTTGCTCCGCGAGGATCATGCCTCGCCAGTTTTTTAACCAGTCTCCCGAACAAAAACATTTCTTCACGGACTTCCTAGTGGATTTTTCATCACCTTCGTGGATCTCTGGTAACTTATTCGTTAAGAAAAGCTCATGAAGAATAATGCAAGGGTTTGATGACAATTATCAATATCTTTTGTCATTATTCATGTTTATATGAAATTTTTATTTACTTGATTAAAAGCAGAATAGAAAAAAAGATGAAATGAATGTGTCATTCAAAACAACAATAACAGAAAGTAAAGAAGAACAAAGAAAAGGCGAAGCTGTCGAATTTGTTTTTATTAGTACTCTTAGAACTAATAATTATAGCAAGAGAACTGAAATAATAATAGTAACAATAATCTATTTAAAACAACACAATGACATCATGGCAGCTACACATTGAACAATATTTGTTGTCATTAATATATCAACATTTTCTTCTAAATGTCTTTTTGGATCTTGTTTACCAACATTTCGAATAGCTAGTTGTTCCTGTGTCATCTTCTCTTCTTCTTCCAATGATTTAATATAATTTTTCGATAAATCTAACATTTGTTTAACAACATTTGTATTTTGTTCACTATGATCATTAAAATCTTGTAATGTTAAACCATCAATCCATGATTTTTTATGTAAATTTAATAACATTTTTTGTTCTAATTCATTTTTACGATAATTAATACATATTGAATAATAATGTCGATTTAGACCATGAATTAATGCTTGTATCGATGGCTTAGTTAAATGACCTAAATTTGACGTTGTCTGACGTGCCTCTTGGCCTAATACAAATAAATTTGGATTTATTAAACGAAATGCATCAATAACAACTTTGCCCTTAACACTTTGAACAGGATCAACAACAACAGCCTAAATGGAACAAAAATTTATATTCACAGTATACGAAAGCTATGATGTAATTTTAAAATCACGTACCACTGTTCGTTCGGTCAATGCTTCAAAACTTTGTTGTGTATTAATATCGACTCCTGATAGCCAACAACCAAAACCAGGATGTGAGTGATACCATCCAACAACCATCTCTGGTCTACCTGTTTGTTTTAACATGTCTAACATTTTTGCTTGGAAGACGGGATCAACCGCTTCTACACTGACACCCGTCCCAGATTGAGGCATAGCAAATACATCAATAACACGTACAGTGTAATCATCGACAAATTCACCTAACATAAGACTAGAAAAAAAAGCAAAATATTATATCGATTACATACAGATTAAAAATTAGCTTACCCCATGACTTCCATCGGCACACCAGCTCTTCCATGTTTTAACATTTTCAATAGGGACAATGATGATATATACACTTGTTCAGCTGTATCAACCATAGGTGTATCTCCTTGTGAACCACCGCCACCACCCTGAAGATCACGACTTAAACCGCCTAATCCCATGTTTCTTATAAAACGATCCATTATATATTTATTTTAAATTTTTTGTCTAAAATACAAAACAGAATGTTATTTTATATTCCTTGAGAGATAGTTCAAAACATGTTGTCCTAGTTTAGTTTTACAGAACATTTAAGATATAATTTAAGTACACTACTTTGAATTAAGATACATAATGCCTTGAAAAATATATCTGGAAGGCCAAAGACATAATAGAAAGTACACATCATCATTATAGTAAGAAACTGCCACAGTTATATAGCAACGTCAGGTAATATGAAACATACTAGCTGTTGCGAGAAAAAGTACATTCATTTACGTTGAATTTAATAAATGCACAGTACTTAAAGTACATTCGAAAAGAAATGAGATAAAAACGAGAATGAGATTCAACAAAAAACTTTCCAAAAAAAATTGGCAGTAAAACAAACAATAATAAAATTTATCACCGAAAAGAAAAAAGGAGAAAACATTGTACAATTAAGTTATTATATGACATACTGCTTTCAAAATGCCGAAGCCTATATTAGTCGGAAACAAAATCATAGAATAAAAAACAAAGACAATGTATCTCCCAAACGCTTCTATCATTTAGTTCTACAATTACTCATCTTTTCATTAATACTTCAAAAAAAATAAATATAAAGAGAAAATCAGCCCTGGTTTGATTAGTAAAAAGATACGTATTGCACAAAATCACAAAAAAAAATTCACTTATTCGTCATCAGTTAATTGTTCAGTATCATTGTCAATAGTGCGTTATTATTTCCTAGTGTTTTTAAAATTTTTCTGATTCTATAATACTATAGTTGGTCATATCTTCTTCATCGCTAAAACCTCCTGCGAGTATTTGTTGAGATTTTTCACCTCTTCCATTTCGTTGAAGTCTATCCTTTGTACGTTCAAACATTAATATAAAATTATGAATATATTCTTTTGATCGTTCTTCCCAACGTTGCATAACCGTTTTTGTTTCTTCTTCATACGTTTTCATTTTTGTTTTCATTTGATTTACTCGTGCTTGAAGTGCAATTGATTTTTCTTTTAAAAATCCTACATTTAGATCATGAGCTGAATACCCACGAGCCAAATTTCGCCGAACATACATATCATAATCTCTTACTAAACGACAGATGATGTCACTTGTCGATACGCCGTCTGTACGTTGAGTAACAACAAACATTCCACGAGCCTTAACAGGAAAAAGAATATTTTCTTATACAGATTAATATTTTTGCGACATACTTTGATATGTTGATAAACATCGTCATGTCCATCAGCACCATAAGGTATTTCATCATGTGCAACGAAGTCAATTTTATTTAATGTTAGAAAGTCGTCATCCAATACCTGAACAGAGTAAAATATACTCTTATAAAGTATGTCTCTCATAATAACTAATAAACAACTCACCCAAGGAGCATCTGTAACAACTTCATCAACATAACGACAATGTCTTAAACTTTCGTACCGTTCTGCTTCATTCATGACAGTTTTACCCTTTTTTCGATGTGTTAAATCATCATTACAAACACCAACTAATAAGTAAACATTTTGAAATACATTTTTTGCTTGCATCAATTGACGCGCATGTCCAGCATGAAACAAATCATATATTCCATCAGCATAAATTCTTATTTTTCTAGGTGCCGCATTTTGTTCAGCAATCTCTTTTGTTATACATATAGTATAATCACATTGTTCACGTTCACGAACGGCTTTTTCTTCATGGCATAATGCTGCTGGTCCCAAATTAAGCTCAACGTTGATATTTGTTTTACCACTAAATTCCATTGTACGGCATGTGTTTGCAAGAGCATCGTCACTTGACATTTGGATTGGATCATCTGACAGTGTCGGACAGTAAGTGATTGAAGAAACAACTGAATCCTGGTGTGGTACATTTGACTGAAATTTTCTTGATGAATGAACTTCCTTCATCGGCAATTGTATTGTTTCCTGTTCTTGTGCATCATGCCAAATATCAAAGTTGTGAATAGCATTCTCCTGCTCCATCTTCTTTCTTTTCAAGTTCAATCGAATTATTAGTAATTGTTTTTATACCGGATCTTAAGAAAATCAATAAATAGTCAGCTAGGTCATTAGCTTGAAGAACATTCTGTTGAACTATCAATTGTTTTCTGTCAAATAACTGCTACATGGTAAAAACCAGAAGAAAAAGTTGCTCAGTATAATATCTGCTGCTGGTGAGCCATCTTTAAAGAAAGTTCGAGTGCACAATTGATGTCAATAACCAGTTTCTAGAAAAGTAATTTCTTTGGTATAAAACTTATCCATTGCATTAGACTGTAATCGAGAAAGAAATGTTTGTTTTTACTCTTTCGCAAACATATCTCGAAAAAAAGATGAGCAGACGTAAGTGAGAGTCACACGAATATAGTTCTCATCATCGTTAATTCTATCCTTTCTCATTATTGTTAAGCGCTGTAATTTTAGCACTCTTAGAGAGATATTCCTCCGCTCACTACCATCTAACTCACATCCCAGTTAACAAGTACAAGAATCAGGTAACAAGTCATTTCTTACCTTAAATATAGGACACATACGATTAAGAAGAGTGAACGTAAATGAACAAAAAGGTAAGCGATAATTTTGTTGAATCAGATGCTGTTAAAACGCCGTTGCTGAAGTATATCTGAGACCTTGTAATATTATATCCACTAACTTGTAAGCTGACATAAAAATGACTGATCCTAACCGTAGAAAATAGAAATTAAAGAAAAAAGCAAAAGAAATATAAGTAAATAAACAAATTGAGCTTCGTATTAGAAATAGCCAGATTGTTAATTGGATATAAAACCGCCATTTGACAATGCCAGAGTCCTCCATCCTTTTTATATTGTACTATTATTCATTATACATCGTGGAGAATTTCAGTGCAGTTTAGAGTAGATTGAACGTTTGTACAAACGTATTAATTGTTTCCAGTGTCATCCACTAATAGGTCTTCAATATACATGACCGATTAGATCTTTTGCTTTCCTCTCGTCTTATTTTCTATCGTATAGAAGTTTGAATCCAGTTTATTCATTCAATCACAATACACCGCAAGAATCTTCTTAACTATTAATCATCAAAGTTTCGTGGTCTAAATGCTAATGTGTAAAAAATACTAATCTTGTTTGGCATCCGAAACTGAAAATGGCTTGTGCTCTTCGAAAAATACGTCCTTTAAGTAACAATTTACGACATATTAAACTAAATGTAAGATAATTAAAATGGTTGAAGAGTCATCATGTTTAGCTAATGTCTTTTTTCTTTTGCTCTAGTTCGTTCAGTCGAATAACGTATCAGTTGCCGTAAGTCTGTACGTTGTGGATATTCCACAAAACGACATTCATGATATAATATCGTTTTTGTATAGATTACTGCAGATAAAATAGCCGAATCTCATAAACATCATGTAACAATGTGAGTTACTCTACATAATAAAACTGTTACGTAATTAGATTGTTTTTAATCTATTCTATTTTATTCAGATTACCCGGCGATGGTGTAGGACCAGAACTGATGCTCTGCGTTCGCGAAATATTTAATACCCTTGGTGCACCAGTCGAATTCGATGAAATATTAGCTAGGTAGAAAAGAATGAGAAACGACCCATATCAATCCTATATATGTATTCTTTTTCTTTTTTTTAGTGAATTGCTTCCAGGACGCAGTTCCTCATTAGCTGATATAGTAACCTCCTTTCGACGTAATCGAGTTGGAATCAAAGGGATATTAACTACTCCTGCGATTGGTGAAGGAGGTATCCGATTAACTAATGGTTAAAATGAATATAATTAAATAACACTGTTCTGTTTTTCTTCTTAGGGGATTTAATGTCGTTGAACATGAAGATTCGGTAATTTATTTTCTCAGATGAATTATTTTGTGATCAATTACATCATTTATCTTTCTGTTTGTGTATTTTACAGGCGAGCTTTAGATTTGTATGCCAATGTTGTTCGTATTAAGACTGTGCCGGGATTAAAGGTACGTCTATTTTGTGTGTCTATGTCAGATTTAAAGTGTAAAGTATGTTCTAGTTACGTCATCAAAATATTGATTTTATTGTTATTCGAGAACAAACCGAAGGAGAGTACAGTGCGTTGGAACATGAAGTAAGATGCAAAAAAGTGAAAAGTCTTAGTCATATCTGATGTGTGTGATTTAATCTATTTCAGTCTGTTCGCGGTGTCGTTGAATCGTTAAAAATCACAACATACGAAAACTCTAAACGTATAGCGAAATTTGCATTTGATTTTGCAACTAAATTTAATCGAAAAAAAATAACAGCGGTGCACAAAGCAAACATCATGTAGATTATTGTTACTATCTTTTTACGGTAAAACTAGTAAAAGATCTTTTTCTTTTTGTATTGTAGGAAATTGGGTGATGGATTATTCCTTGAATCATGCAAGGAAATCTCTCTCATGTACCCAAATATTGAATTAAATACAATGATTGTAAGAAAAACGAGATTAACAAATAGAATGGCAAATAAAAATTAGCTTTTTTTCTTTGTTTTAGGTTGACAACACTTGTATGCAGGTAAATACTATAGAAATAAAATATACTATAATACAAGAAGACTAGATTTTGTTTTATTCATATAAAAATATTTCTGTTGATCGTTCCTTTCGAATTTCAAAATCAAAACTGTTCTCAGACTTTTTGGAGAAGAGCTATAGTGAGTTCCACGTTACAAAATTTATAGTTTGTTAAAGATTTTTTCTATTATGTGCGTTTTTTATCACACTTTGTTTGGTTTCTGAGAAATTCTATTCCTATTGTTGTCCTTCAGCTCGTCTCAAAACCACAACAATTTGATGTTCTTGTTTGTCCGAATTTATATGGAAATATTGTCTCGAATTTGGCTGTGGGTTTGGTCGGTGGTGCGGGTATGGTTCCTGGTGAAAGCTATAGCGCTGATGTCGCTATTTTTGAACCAGTAAGTTAGTCTCTTTTGATAGTTGTACCATAATTTTAGTAACTAACTTTGTTTTAGGGCGCTCGTCATCCTTTTCTCACTGGTGCTGGACGAAACATTGCAAATCCAACGGCGATGTTATTGTGTGGTGTTAATTTAATGCGATATTTGAATCTTGGTATGTTTCTGTTGACAATAATTGTATTTACTATCGAACAGTATGTTTTTTTTCTAATTTTTAGACAATATGGCTACTAGACTTGAAGATGCAATTAGTAGTGTAATTAAACAGCAAAAAACAAGAACCAGAGACATTGGTGGTTATTCAACTCAACAGGCCTTCTTAAGAGCTATAGGCTCTCAGCTTGAATAAAAACAACAGTATAAATTTAGTCATTATTTCAGTAAGAAAATATATAGTCTTTTTTGTCGATGTATTTATCATAGTATTTATCATTTTGACATGAAATTGTAGTGGTTAGCTCTATTTTTTTATAACCCGGTTTAGGAGAAATGTATTAATTTTAGTATTCTTGATACCATGAGGGGAAAGTACTCAACTTTCCCCCTTACACATTCTCTATTTTAAGCAAAAAAAACCCCTTCTCTAAATGCGTTTAAACAGTTTTTCTATTTTCAAATTGTGTTTTGGCAATTTATTTAAGAGAACAAATATTTTCTATAAATTTTTTGGCACTGATATTATCTCCAGTATGACAGTATATTTTTCAACTCAATTCATGAATCTAAAAATGATCTAACCCATTTGGAGTTGTGGACAGTAGTCGTTTAAAGAAACAAGCATGGCATCATTCCGTAAACATTTGTAACATATCTGAATATAAAGTATCCTGCTTGAATGTTGTATGATGTAGTTACGTCTACCGAAGTTATTTTTTACAATAGCAGTATCTTTACAAGTTATGTTAATGCAGACAGGAAAGCTTCAGTTCAGTTCAGCTCAGTTTAATCTATTTAGAAACATGAAAAAAACTACATAATTTACTACGTATATGAAACAGTAACCTAACTAGCAACTGTTTCAAAGTACTCTCTAAAAAAAGTGTACTTTACAACAGCTAAAAAGGGTTAGAAGAATGTCACCATCAGAAACGAATAGTGGTTTCATAATTTTTATACAAAAAACCATAAAAAAGTTTAGTAAATAGTTTCTCAAGATTACTAAACCTCACAGCTTCAATGACTAACGAACTTTGAGAAAATGCAGAAATTACACCGTCATTTTTTCACGTTCTCAGATCATTATTGGTTTACTGCTCTAATACGTCAAAAAATCCGAGCGATGTTGTGGTGATCTGGGGTAAACAATCAGACACTTGACAATGTTCTCTGTTCTATGCAATATGCATGAGAAAAATAAATCCTGTTTCAGCAAATCAATTTAGTTAAAACTCAGAACTTGATCAAAACTTAACTCCAAATAAAAAAAAACGCTGGAGAGCTTTCATAATACAAAAATCGTCCACAAAACACTTTAACGAGACTGTAACATGAATAAAAATGCGACCGTAAAGAATAATGTGATAAAAATGAAACTAACTAGTGTAACCACGACATCTACTGTATTTTTCGAGATACAGGATATATAATATATACCATACATAAAACCTACAAAATACTTGAAGATTTTATCATTCGTAGGGCAAGATCAAGTCATTTTGATACATACCCAACATGCATGGGTATCAGATATAAAGACATAAAGTTCGAAATAATTCATTACATGCAAAAACTGTGTAAAAATATAAATAAAATGTTTATTCTAACGTATATTATTAGCAAAAAACGGAGTTTTATTTTGGCGCTGTCGACGGAACTCCTAAAAAAGTAAGAAAAAGTGTAATTTAATTGTGTTGCACTTGACTTCTTACATTGTTCATTGGCTTTGGATATTTATTTCTGTGTAACGTGCTCCTATCTTTCAAGTTCGCTTGTGTTTATCTACAGTTCATCTCTTGCTCTCTGTCGCATATACATTTATTCTTGTTTTATTTGTCTCTCTAACAAGTGAAATCTATGTGGCACAACTAAAATTTTGTGCTTTTCGCTCATTCAAAACTGTGTTATTGAATTAGGAAGAGCAATACCATTTATTTTCGTTTCTTGTCAGCTTATTTTTGTTTTTCAAATTTTGAATATTGTGCTAAGTGTATTACGAACACTGAGTGATTAGTACTAATTATTATTACCGTTTACACCAATTAACAAAAATTATACACAAATTTGGTAGGCATCAGCTTGGAGACGGACCATCAATGCAACTAAAACCGACATTGAGGAAGAGAAAAGTAAAGAATTTTTGTGGTGAGACCTGTTAGATTATGAACTATGGCGAAAACGATGGTTTCCGATCTTATTTTATATAGAATATAATATCTACAATAATTTCTAAAACTGTGGGTACCCCGATATAATAGTCATTATTATCGTCATTTACCGTACGCCTCTGACTGCGATGGCATCTTCAACATTTTTGCACTGTGTTCAACAGTTGCGTCATCGTTCTGTCGTCTGTAAAGCAACAGCTGGCTGGATTCAGATTTCTAAGCTAGAGTTTTCATACACTAGCGTCTGAGTTACACACACAACCCATCAGCTTCTTATGTGCAATAGGGGTCTCTTAATGGGCTCTGTATGTGGCTTATCAGTAACACACAGGATACTACTGCAATGATCGAAGAAGTACAGATTTTCTATTATAAATTTTTAAAACTTTCGTCAAAAACGTTTGTTCTTCTGTCTTGGTAACCTAAAAATTGTCTACCGATGGCGCGATGTGATAAAAATAACCATGACATTGAAAAAATCTCAAGTAGTATTTGTTTTTGAGATTGTTTCATGAAAAAACAGTCTGACAGTAGTCCGACGTTTTAGTTCTATTTCCCTCTTATCCTTTGTTTAAACCAATACAGCCAACATACGTATATTGTTAACATTAATTTAATGATTGATTTAGAAGCAGCAATGAATGGTTTAAAATCATCATCCAATACACAACAGAAACTAGTACGTGAACCTGCTGTTGATACAATTAAAATGTTTGTTGGCCAAATTCCACGATCTATGAATGAGTTAGAGTTACGGTCATTGTTTGAAAAATATGGACCAATATTCGAATTAAATATTTTACGTGATAAAATCAATGGTGAATCGAAAGGATGTTGTTTTGTTACATTTTATTCACGACGATCAGCATTAGATGCACAAAATGCTCTACATAATTTACGTACATTAAACGGTATGCATCATCCAATACAAATGAAACCGGCTGACACAGAAAATCGTAATGAACGAAAATTATTTATTGGTATGATATCAAAAACATGTAGTGAAGAGGAAATAAAACGATTTTTTCAACCCTACGGTATGATTGAAGAATGCACCATTTTAAGAGATTTATCGGGACGATCGAGAGGTTGTGCATTTGTTACGTATCAAAAACGTCAATCAGCTATTATTGCTATAAAATCGATGCATCATTCAATGACAATGGAAGGATGTTCATCACCTGTCAATGTTCGATTTGCTGATACACCGAAAGACAAAGAAATACGAAAAATGCAACAAAAATTAAGTGAAAATTTATTTCAACAAATAACTACAACGGCACCACATCTTGTTGCACAACAGAAACAACAATCTATTCAAAATCCTCTATCATCTCCGGGTAATTTGGCAAGTTTAAATTTGATGTTATTCAATCAACTATGTAATAATGCAAATCATCTTACACAAGGCAATAATCGTAATAGTTGTCTAACAAATTCAAATGGTAGTAGTGGAAGTCAATCAATACCACAATCCTCATTTACATCCTATGATTTTTCTGCGGATGGAAATGATAATCCATTGCCCAATTTAGCAAATTTATTTCAATTACCACAAGCAACTTCAAGTTTAGCTAGTATACAATCGAGTACAGCGGCTGTCAATGCTCTTAGTGTGTTAGCTTTTGGACAAACAAATACAAATAACAATAATTTATCATTGTCATCATTATCACCTTACGCCGCCGAATGGGTATGGTATCCTCTTTTTCTACTGAATATAGTACGTATGCCTTAAATGTTTTAGAATCCGCAAACACTCCGAAATCAATTTAATCATCCGTCCGCTGTTAATTCGAGTCCAGCAGTGATGTACACTAATCAACAATTAGAACAAACTAATAACGGTGACGGTATAACCAATGCTTCAATTGCTTCAAAACAGCTCTTAGATTTATTATCATTTTTTAGCTACTTCTTTTCATTCGGTTAATAACGAAGCGAATGGTATGCGCATCTCATGCGTCTTTCCAAATATCACTGATCATTTTCTAACAGAAGATGATTTACGTTTCTTATTAAATAGTACAACAAATATGAATATAAGTACTAGTAATGCAAATACAAAAGACAGTGATAGAAAATTCAATGATACGGAAGATAGACAAGGTGGATTAGATAGTAAACAATTGATTGGACCATCTAACTCAAATTTATTCATCTATCATTTACCACAAGAATTTCATGATTCGGATTTAGCTCAAACATTTTCACCATTTGGTAATGTTTTATCAGCAAAAGTATTCATTGATAAAAGTACAAATTTGAGTAAATGTTTTGGATTTGTTAGTTATGATAATTCTATGTCGGCTGCGTCCGCAATTAAATCAATGAACGGATTTCAAATTGGTATGAAACGTTTAAAAGTACAATTGAAAAAATCACGTACATTACAAAATGATTCGTCTTCTTCATCATCAATAATAACACCGACACTGGAACAATTTTCGGTTTAACAGATTGTCTTTAATTTTTTTATTTTATCCTTGCTTTTGTTTTCTATTCGCAACATTTTTTTCTTCGACTATTTTTCGAAACATACGAAAATATTTTCTTTTATCTACAATATTGATCAAATTGAATTTATATAGTTTCTTTCAATCAACATACTAACAAGATGGTCAACAATAATTGATAGTATATTTCGAAGTGAAAAAAACACAAATGGTATATTAATATTTGACAAATTTTTCTAACGTTTAGTGAAACATGATCCGATCTGTTTATATATAGTTTTTTAATTATAGAATGAAATTTGTACGTTTTATTCTTTTATTTTTGTTTATGATCAACGTTAAAAAAAGTATGATTAGTGAAGATTTATTTTATTATCAAATATTTGCTCGTTGCATTTGTCTTCTCTTTATTCCTATTGACTAAAATTCAATTTTATAAGTGAAATATACATTTTGTCTCCCATTGATAATATCTCAGCTAAATAGGAGAAATTTATTTTAAAGACTTTTTGTTGTTTTAGTGATGAACTATATTTTTCAACTGACATGCAGTGAATAAGAATTCGTCATCCTATTTATTCAATACACCGTTATTAACATAGTAGTAACTCCATTGTCCACCGCTACCACCCATCCATGTTGCTAAATTAAAATAATTAGTTCCTGTATTGGTACCTGCTACTTTATATACCTCGAGTGCACGCTTATCACAATACCAATCTAAACGGAAACCATTTTCAACTCGTTCTGGTTTTGTTTCGCGTAGATATTGTGTTAAAAAATAAGCATTTCCACTACCAAATACGCGAGCTTTTCCTATTTCATCAATAGTAACTACTGTTTTTTCATCAACTCCTATTCCACGTGGGAGTATAACATTCCATGATTTACTAAGCCTTGCCATAAATACTATGAGACGACCATGTCTATCACGTTCTGAGTAATGTTGATCTGTAATCGTGTCAATTAATAGTGGATGATTTAATAAATTTTTTCTTATTGTTACTTTTGAATTAAATGGATTCAAAAGTGCATCTTGTGAAACTACTGTTCCCATTTCTGCACTATAATAATATTGTCCCTGAATGGCTGTACCAGCACTTGTTCCACCTACAGTAATTTTTTTTACATTTATAACATAGTCCAATGCATCTTTTAAGAGAGAATGCTCAATATAGTCCATATAATAGAATTGATCACCTCCTGTAAAAAAGATGCACTCTGCATTACGAATTTTTTCAATCAATGTCGTATCATTGGCCATAAGATGATTATTTAAAAATACGGTTTCAACAGAATCAACTTTTATGCCTAATTCTGAATATAAATAGTCATTGTAACCATCAGCAGCTCGTGGTATTGTTTCATTTTTTCCATCTCGAATCACTATAACATCGCCACCATTACATTGTTGAAGAAACCATCTCATGGCTGAATCTTGATCAGTGCTACCACCAGCAAGTAAAATGCCGTATTTAGGTGAAACAACAACATCGGCAGGATTACCTACGATCCAACTATAATAGGAGGAACAGTCCACTAGAATTTATAAATTATAAGATATAAATGTTAAAACTGGACATCAGAAATAAAATTGTAATACTACATCGCTTACCAATTTGTATATATGTGTTTATCACTAGTATCAGTATAATTAAGTTCATTATTATGTCTGTTTAAATAATAAGAATTATATTAGTTCTGATATTAACATCTCAATCTTAGTTGGAAATAGGAATTATATTTTCATCGATGAAGAGTATGAATATAATTCATATTCGTGAGAGAAAGAACACTTGCTTTTGTTTTAAATATGGTGTTATATTGACATTCCTTAAAAGGTAAAAAATATTATAATAAATGTGCATATATTCTGAAATATGTTGTGCCAGAATACCATTGTCAATTGTTAAACATCAATTTATTAAGTACTTTTTTTCTTGATTTTTCAACTCATATTGCAATTCGAAAAAAAGCTATTTAAATTTAATTAATTTTGCGATAATAGAGAGCATGAATTATGATAAGGTATAAAAAATCGATTTTTAAATATAATATGAGATTAGAGAAAGTCTATGTACGATAATTCAAAAACAATGATATTCTCAAATATGATTTGAGCAGAAAAAAAAGTTCCAAATACGCTATAGTGTTATTATTGTTGTTGCTAAATATACTTCATTATTGCATAGCTGTCTATTATAAAATTCATATAGAAAAAAAGATATTTTATCCGATACCATAAACTCAACAGAGAGCACAAAAAATAGTATAAAAAAAAAAGATTTAAATGTTATACTAAAATCTGTTTGATTTTAACACGTCCAACGGTTTACGATTATCGTAGATTGATGGTGCTAAAGATAAAAACAAAAATAATTTATATTATCGTTCGAAATTATATATAAAAATAGTTAAAAGTAAGAAATATCTACCCTGAAGAATAATTCCACATGTTCCTGCAATACATGCCGTTGTAAATATGTATAGAAACAAGCGATCAATTACTAATGCTACATATTTCCATTCTTCTTTAATCTAAAAAAACAAAACAAAAAATTTAAAAGTGTAGAATATTAAAGATCATTGATTGATTAATTTATAAAAATCTAAATAAATTACCTTTTTCTCTTCATCTTCTTGTTTCATATGTTCGGCAACAAATCTAAGTCCTTCAAAAGCTTTTTTAATCTCAGATGGATAAAATGTTTCTGAATGTGAATTAATTCTATCATCACTGCCTTCACCACCTACCAAACAATCAGTATTATCATAATCATCTAATAAACATGTATCAGCATGATAATTTTTTCTTATCTGATATGGACTTCTTTTAGATGTTGTCAATGTTGTCGTTGTTGTTGTTGTTCTCAATGGAGTAGCTGCTGTTTTTACTACTATTGTATTATTACTTTTACCAGGAGAACGATAATAAAATGGATCAATTGTTGATTTAGGTCGTCTCATCCATAATAGTTTTGGTAGTACATGTAAGAAAACACGTCTAACCCATTGAGGCATTTGATGAGTTAAAGGTGATCGAAAATGAATATTAAGAACAACTACTGTAACAACAATCGATAATGTAACGAGTATCATTGTGAATAAAAGATATTTGCCAATTAATGGTACTACTAATGAGGTGGGTGGTATCAATTCGGCCAATAAAAGAAAGAAGACAGTCAACGATAATAATATGCTAATACACAATGCGACTTTTTCACCACTATCACTTGGTAAGTAAAATGTTAATACGGTCAAAAATGATATTCCTACGCATGGAATTATTAAATTAACTGTATAAAATAATGTTTTACGACGAAGAATAATGAAAAATGTAATATCCGGATAAGTTTGTGGACAACATGTATATTGACGAATATTTCGTTGAGCTGGAACATCCATAATATCCCATTCAACACTTCGATAAAAATCTGTTAAATCAATTGCTACATCAATTTTATTGTTACCATAAACAGGTGTTGAACCATTTGATTGATTTATATGAACTAGATCAACCTTATAAGAAAAAATATTTATATTAATAAAAATTAAATATTAACAAAATGTGGTAGAAATACACATACTTGTTCACCAGAATAAGTCCATGAACCAAATTTCATTTGACAATTTTGAATATCTAGAGTAATAAATATATTAGTTGAATGCTATTCAATTGATGTGATATTGAAAAGAAAGTTTTACATACCAAAAGGAAAAAATTCAACATTAATTGTACATGATGATTTGTAGATTGCAGGTGGCTATATAAATAAATATATTTTACAACAAATCAATAAGCTTATAAACTTACCTCCCAAATAACTCGTCCATCGTGATAAACAGTGGCCTTTGTCATTAAAGTTACTTCATAGTTACCATCAGCACTGGAAAATAAAAAATATTTTAGTTTTTCAAAATTATTTTGTACATTTTTAATAACACATGTATATAGATTTGGTGCAAAAATGATTAAATGATATTGTATATTTATCATGCATAAAACAAAGCATTCAATTTAGCAATGCTATATTATATAGCTAAGAGAGAAGTACCAACTTGTTGAACAAGACGATATCGGGTTTCCATAGCTCAGCTGCCGGGATCGACATATTTGTTAAATTATTAAAATCTGCCGGATTCCAACTGAGATGAATGTCGGTCCAAAACTAAAAATTAATTAGCTTGTCTAACAGGTCTAATATATGACAAAATGTGATTAAACGAATAAAGGTTATCTTTATCGTATATGAATTATTAGAAAAACATAAATTAATTTAGTTTATTAGAGTTCTTTCTTTCTTATTAAAACTCTTTATACCAAATTTGATAAAAGTATTTTTTATATGGACTCAAAAGGATCTCGGAGTATGAGTAAAAAATCTTATGGATTATTTGCAAAATATCTAAAAGAAATTTTTTAAGTACGAAAGAGATTTGTTTAAATAAGAAAAAGTATACGTTTCTGAACTGTATGAAGTGAGATCAATAAAACTGTACTCATTCTGTTTCTCTTCCTAATTATTGTATTTAAAATTTGTTACATTTCGTTGTAATTTTACAACTTCTTCAGATATAAAAATTTTTAACACTAACTGTTAACACACTTTTTAATTGAACTATAGAACAAAACAAAATTGTTGACCATTTTGAACTTTTCCAACTATTTTGATCTAGTCGGATCATTTTGATTATTAATTCTTTTTTCTTCTTTGTCTCTCTTATACATATGATAGCGATACGGAAACAAAACGGATCATAGTAACAACTAGACAGGATAAACCTTTTCCGTAACACTATCATAGTATTGAAAGGACCATCGAAATCAGTTATTTATCAAATACAGTGCAGTTGTGATCCTCCTCAAATATATAACGATGAAACTAAAATTGGAATTGATAATAGACTGAAACAGCATTTTCGCTTGATAAACAACGATGGGGAAAAATCGGAGATAGTGCAACATCAACAACAAAATAGATATCAATGTCTAGTTGATACAGATAATGCCTTTATCTTTGAATAAGAGAAAAACTGACGTAAACAAAGACTGAAAGAAGCAATTTATTCGAGAATGAATAAATCAGTCAATAAACATGGTGATATTAGCGTTGATTGAAATCCTATTCTTTACAAGGCAGAACAAAGAAAGATCTAATCAAGTCGAGAAACATTTAAGAAATATAAAAGAACTAAGACTTAGGGAACAAGATGGTGATAGTGATACGGAAAAGGTTTATCCTGTCTGGTTGTTACTATGGCCGTCTTATTCTCGTATCACTATCATACGTATAAGAGAGACAAAGAAGAAAAAAGAATTAATGATCAAAATGATCTGACTAGATCAAAATAGTTGAAAAAGTTCAAAATGGTCAACAATTTTGTTTTGTTCTATAGTTCAATTAAAAAGTGTGTTAACAGTTAGTGTTAAAAATTTTTATATCTGAAGAAGTTGTAAAATTACAACGAAATGTAACAAATTTTAAATACAATAATTAGGAAGAGAAATAGAATGAATATAGTATAATCACCCTTCCTGAACTGAACTCAATTGAGATCAATAAAATGCATTCTCTGTTATCCGTAGAATTCTGAATTTTTCAGTAATATACATCACATTTAATCCTTCATTTTCTTATAAACGTACTTCTCATCATACGTCAAACATGTCTAGATAGTATTTACAAAAAATTTTATTCATTTAGAATAATTTATTTCGAGAGAACATGTTGAACTCAACATTTTTTTTACCACTGATTCGAAACCAAAGATTTGTTACAAAATGAATTGCATCTACCTCGGTGTCAGTTTTTTCTTATATATTTTATTAATAAGAAATATATATCAAATATAGTTGGAATCTTATTTGTGGGAGATGTTGTTTTTTAAAAATATTAATAGTTAAATTTTCTAATTCACTATTAATATATGTATCCATTACATGTGGTACATATCATTGACATCTAGATTTTTTTTTCTTCCCGTTATTCAATGTATTGATGATTATTAAGAAGACAAAAAATATCTATTTCTTAGAATAGATAATAATATATATACCCGTCAACAATGTTTATTCATTAACATCAGTTATAAGAAAAGCAAAAGCTTTTTTTCTCATAAATAATGGTGGTGGTGGTGAAGACAGAAATGGGATGTTTATTGTTCGACAGACAAAGTACAACTCTAACATAACATACTCTAATTTTCTACTGTTATATTGAATCCACATTACACATTAGTCATATCAATTTAAACATCACTGTCACAATACAAAAATACATTTGACAATTTCTAGAGTAATCAATATGTTTCGCATTACAATACAAGGTAATAACTATCGAACGAGACTAGTCAATGATTGATTATTATTAACATCTCTATCGAAATTAGAAGAATATTCTCATTGTGTTGGGTAACATAAAATTAGAGTAAAAAATAATATTGATAATGCTCACATGAACACCAATACTAATATAGGAGACGGATAAACAAAAAATAATAATACTAACAATGTGGGTGACAGAGATAGAGTGGTGGTAGTGTTGTGCTATTTAAACAACATCAATAATATACAAACTTGTTATAAAGAACAATATCGGGTAACCATATTTGTTGACTAGGTATATAGAGGACATCAACTCCACCGTATTTAATCGGGTCCCATTTGAGTTTTTCATCATGCCATTCCTATGTATATGGAGTCTAGTTTTATTCGAAATTTTATGACCAGATTAAATACGTGAACAATTTAATTTTAAAAATTCAATAAATATTTTATTAATATTTTATTATTACCTGTTTTAACCATACATTTGATGTCATAATTTGATTCTTTTCATCCTTAAATGTATATAATAGAAAAATTTTTTGATTTGAAATAAATAAATTTATCAAAATTTATCCTTACCACATCTAATAACTGCGTTAATCTTAAACCCAAATAAACTGTTAGCTTTTCATTATTATTTTTAACGGGACGAATTAATTTGTTATAGGAACGAACTTTCATTAATTCTTCATATAAACGTTTGGCTTCAGGATTTCCCAATATGACTAAACAATAGAATAAATTAAAAATATCATCTCGTATTCACTTCCTAATAAAATGAAATAATTCTTACCATAAGTAAAACAACAACAATAGAGAGTTAACGACGTGATAATATACTCCATGCATCGATGATGATATTATTCATCGGTATTTATAAAACATGTATATATTCATCTAAAAATATAAAAAAACTAACGTACAAAAGTTTATAAATGTTGTATTAATCAACATTCACCTTCTTTTTAGAAGATAGAATACCTCATCGAATATCGGCCGGTATCAAAGACTTTTAAAATTAATCATCCATCTCTGTAGCAGATACTAAAGTATATTTCTGGTCAGAGATTCATCTTATACAGAGTCTATTGAGTTAATTCTTTGTTCACCCTTATTGACCCCGTACCAGCTGTCTAGTAACCTTGAGGAACTATGGTATATGTCGAATTTCAACAAATATGCTATTGTACGGGTTATTTGATATAGATCAATATCAGTAAATTTCTCCAAGATGCTAGTATACGATTTACCGTTGAAAGATGTTTTAATTGTTTTATAGAGAGTTTTATATTCATTTATGTACATACAGAGGTCCATTTATTTGAAATGGAAATACTTGAGAATGGTAAAATTTTAGTTCAGATTACATGATCACACTTATATTTTTTCTAACTTTATTCAAATAACCAACAGAAGCTATACTATTAGAACATGTACATACATAGTGTTCTTACTTAATATTGGAATACTTTTTAGGGTAGAAAAACAACACAAGAAAGAGAACAAGGAAAAAACAACTACTTAGTTATCATTCCGCCTATCGTCATTTATTTGTCATTGTAGTATACTGTACTTTAGTCACACTTATTTTCGTATACATAAACACATCATTTTGTAAATTTATGAATCAGCTTCAGTATTAGTAAACAGATGTTGTAAATCATTCATTCTATAATAAATATAGTTGTTCTAAAGTATATATCTATATATATATATATCAATTGTCCTTATAAAAACTATTTTTTTAATATTGCTTTAAGGAATATTGGTATACACTATAAAGGTGGTTAGCAATTTTTTCAACTGAATCTTTTGGAAACAATATTATCCAACTTTTTCTTGTATAAAATAGTCGTATGTAATGTAACTAAACTTTAGAAAAATAACTAACAGAATAAATATATCTACCTTATCATCTGAAAAATATTTTCTCATAACGAACACTGATTATCTTCTGAAATTGCACTTGTAAGATGAGTATCTTAATATTTTATAATAAATGAAAATGAAAGAATTGTAACAAAAAACAATATATTTAAAATTACCGATAAGAATAAAACTTGATGTATGTTTAAAAATTATGGCTAACTCACTGATGAATAGTTCTATTTTGTGTCTGTTAAACACATTCGTCAACTTTGCTGTGATTTGTTTCTTTCTCTCTCGTTCTTTGTGAATGAAAAATTTTATTAATGGAACAGTAAACATCGACAGTAGCCACTTGTCTTTGTGAAATAATTTTGAAAACGAAGAATGTGTTCAGTGATCAATGAGGATTGTGTTTTTTCTTTATGTTTTTATCTTATCGCTTTTTTCTTTTGCTAACATCATCCCATTCAAATAAGGAAAAATCTTTATAGAAAAATGTCAAGCGTAAAAATTGGAAAATTGCATAAAATTAATCTTGTATTGATTGTGCAATAGTTATTTGCATTATAAAGAAGAGAAAAACATTGGAATAACAACTTTTTCTGCTAATTCTAATCAACTTCAAAAACGTTTTTCTTATTGTTGCACAAGAAACGAGGTTCGTTTCGGTTACTTTTTTGACAGATGTAAAGTAAATGGCGTAAAATGCTGTGCTTACTCGATGTTTGTATTCGTGATCGCAGTATTTGACGGTTACAAACATATGCTGTTTGCATCACATGCTTCAAAAAATATCATGCATTTAATATATAGTAAACATTTTCTCATGTATAATCAGCAAATCATTCAATTAAAAAAAAAGCATAATTTTGAACATTTCATTTTACTTCTAAACAACTGTGTTAGCTTATTAAAGCATGTGTAAGAAAACAGGTTTGTTCACATAATCATTGTTCCTTAGATATATATAGTGATATTTTACAGCTGATGTATTACGCTTAGAACAATGAGTAACAGAAAGAATCCTAAAATAAACAATTGCTATTTAACACATTTACATGATAGCTACTCTAATATACTATGCGTGTGTGTGTATTTGTTATTTTTTTTCCTCTATTAAGATCATTATATTGGCAGTGAAAAAACTGACATTATTATACGAAAACGAACGATGACTGTTACTGTCATTATCTTAGAGAGATCTTTTTCTCTTTTTCTTTTTGTCTACGTGCTTCATCTTAAACAACTGCATTTTCTTTATTCTATTATCTGATAATATTCTAATAATTTTTTGTCCTTATACCAATTTGGTTACTTAAAATTAAACTAATTAGATCATCATATGATGTCTTTTGACAGATATCCACGCCATAAATATCATTTCTAATATGTATTGAACAATATAATCAACAAATGAAAGCGTGAAAATATGAAATTATGTTGACATAACGAGTGGCAGTAACATTGTAAGCAATTCCTCTTTTCTTAACTCATTCAGGATAAATAATTAGAGTGTTGTTAAATCGTGCTGACTTTCAAGAATTACTGCTCGTCTAAAAATTTATTACAAGGGAGAGCCGTATCTTTTTTTTTTTTTGCGCAATAGCCGTAAAATAAATTTTTGTTTTCTACTTCTGCTTGGTAATGCGCGTGGTTTTTAAAATACGTTGACACTCTTATATTTAGTGACAAACCAATCTATAAGAAGTAGAAATTATTATTTCTCATTTATGCCATAATCCTTGAATCTAGCAAACTTAGAAAAACTGTTCATTGATTCTGAAAGTTGTTTTTTGTATAAAACACGATATAAAGCTAAAAATATGAACACAATGTTTGAATTTATATCCGATGTATCTTTAGAGATCCGGATTTTCAAATTTCGAAAATTCAAACTTTTTGAGACTAAAGTTATTCAATTCCCTTATACTTAAAAAAAAAACGGTTTGTCAGTAAATATAAGGTTAGTGAAATCTAGCAATGATTTTTAAGATAAAATACTTGACTCGAAATCGTTATTTTACATTAGAGAAAAAAAACCAAAAAAAATGGATAGTTTAGTTTGCTTTAGAATTGAAAATAACAGTATAACTCACCAATGTTCAGTATCATAATGAAATCTTAAAATATAGAATATCAATGTATAACACAGTATGTCACAGATGCTCTTTTTTCATCAGTTTTCGGCATTTTTTCTTTATTATGTGATCGTTAAATTTGTATTTTTAAATCGATAAATATGACAACTGTTACTAGTACATTTATAAGCGATTGTCATAGATTAACACGAGCATAGAAAATAGATTTTTTCCTTCCGTTTTACATAGATTCTATTTTTATAGTCTGTGCAAAGCAAAGATATAGATCTAAAACACTAATAGAAAAAAAAAAAAAAAACTGCTTTTCTTTCTTCTATATCACTTTCTCTCTTTCTTTTTTTTTCTAGGTATTAATTCTAATGTTAATATAGAAAGGCTGTGACCGCAGATCAAAACCTATATATGAGTAATAAGATTATTCGAATGACTTTCGTTCCTACGATGTCTATTCCCGGTCAATTATAATCATTTTCATTCTTTCAATAATAAATACAAATCTAGTGAAAGTTAACATAATTTTTTATAAGAAAAATCATATAATTTATTAAAATCATTTATTTTTCTCTCATTTTCACTCGACCTTTCTTCTTTTTTTTTGTTTTTTAGAATAAGAATAATTAAATGCGAGATAACCGCCTGTACATATAGATTTGTGACAGTATAACATCTTTCTGTTACTGTTGTGCTTATTTGTATATATTGATTCATGGGACAAAATATTCAGATAAACTATATACGGTAATTCTTTTTTTCAATGTAAATATTCGAAAACATGTTTTTAAATGACGAAAAAGTCAAGTTTTAACGTAAAGAACAACATTAATTAAAGATGTTCTCGCTGAATATAATCTAAGAGAATGTATATGAAATTTTGATGACTGCTCAGGTGATAATTAGATAAACTATTGCTGCTATCGATTCCCTTTTGTCTATTAGACGAGAGAGCTAAATTTAGTGTTTTATAGTTACATTTGTACTAATGTTTATTACAAGAAAGATTTGTCTTAAAACTGATATCTACTTGCGAATATTATTGTTGTTCTTCTTTTTTGTTGATGAACTCCAAATATTTCTGGTCATTTAACCTTTTTTTCTCATCCTAATAAAAAATCTTATTGTATAAACATAGAACATAAATAGAGCTTTGTCTCTTCCCTCTCTCTCTCTCTCTATGCATTATCTCTATATATGAAGGAATATATCGATTTAGATGGCATTGCTTGAATTCTCTCCCTTTCATTCACTATGTTTCTTTTGTGTTATAAGGCTTCAAATAGACTTTGTTTAATTAGGAAAAACAGATCTTCAGCATACCTTAGCCACGCCCCGTTGTTTCACACAGTAAGATAATATTGTTCTTTTAGCGAAAAGAAATGCCTTTGTTCATTATCTTTTATTTTTATTTAGATATTTGAATAAATGATACGTTCTTGTTGTATACAAGGGTTACTGGTCATTTATATTCTGCCACTAATCAAAGACGGTTTGTATATTAAACTGAATTGACGTCTAAAAGAAATTAAAAAAATTAAAAATAGCCAGAACTAACGTTCATCTAGAAGGGTTTACTCTCAGTTCGTCCCAAACTGCTCACTCTCATATCTACCCACCCTTTTGATGTTGTTTGATCTTACTTACAAAGCCAATTTGGGACAAACTGAGAGGATACCATCTAGAAGTATGAGATCTGTTTATCATCTGTAAGATGTTATTATTTCAGCCCTATGCTCTCATCATGAAGAACAATTACACGAGAAAATATTTGACGGTTATAATCCTTTAATACGTCCAGTTCGTAGAGTTGAAGAAACAATTACGGTTCAGTTCAGTATTGCATTGTTACAAGTTATTAGTGTGGTTAGTACGTGACATTTTACGACATACTAATTTTTCATCTCATAATAAAGAGTTGGTTTCCAAGTTAGGATCGTACGGTTAGCATTTCATTGCAAATGTTGAATACAGTTTTATCATGGGAACTTATTTATCTATTAAACTTTTTTAGGTTGAGAAAGAACAAGTAATGAAAACAAATGTTTGGCTACAAGTCGTAAGTAAAATATTACGTTTGAGAAGTCGCATATGTTCTTTGTATTAATAACTGCGTGTTGAAATAACGACTGATAAGTTAGAGTGTCATTCACCACTTAGATGATGTTTTGTTCTATCTTGCTTATGAAAGATTAATTCACGTCAAATATTAATTAGCAGATATTTTCAAAATCTTATATTATTCTATTGGATAAATATGTCATCACAAATAGACTGTGCTCTTATAGAAATGGTACGATTATCAACTGCAATGGCCAAGAGAGAAATATGGGGGCATTGGCTCAATTCGTGTTCCACCTGATAAAGTTTGGACGCCAGGTACACGAACATTATAAAAAATCTATTACCGTTTTAAAAAAGAAAGGCGGCTGGGTAGATTGCTTATAACTGTTGAAGGAAAAGTACTAGAGGCACGCGTTTTTCACCGTTCGATAGAGAACATCGGAAGACGCGAGTGTATGCGAAAACTAGGCTTCCAGATAAGGTTTACCATAGTAAGCGTTTCGATGCAAAGTCTACGAGGCCGTCGTTCCTGGACCATATGATGGATTCTGATTTTCAGACAGTGTAATCGATAGCCCAAACCGAG